TGAGTTACTCAAAGTTTCCGCTACCGGTTCTCTGAGTTACTCAAAGTTTCCGCTACCGGTTCTCCAGAACCTGTCAGAACCTGCTGAATTTCTTCAGATTACCTAATTGCTTGTCAATTTGTTGCATTCTTGGATCATTTGTGATAGGCTTAACCTGTATTCTCCCAATAGCAGAGCCTTTTAGTATCATACAAAGGATATCAGATTCTCTTTCTGGGTAGAGAACTAATTGAAAATTTATCCTCAATTAATAGGGAGGCTAAAAGAAATTAAGAAATCCAAGAGAGGGTATCTGAAGTATGAAATAGTATTAGTGGGTAATGCTTCTTTGGAATGTTTTAAAGAATTATTACTATACCTATCATTATCACGGTATGCTTTACATTTAAGGAAATATACTGTATACATCGTATTTTATTCAATATTGATGTTACATTTCAATTTTTTTTAACTATTTTACAAAACTGATATAAGCTCTCAAATGAAAATGAAAGTAGAATATGTTTTGTTTCCTCCAGCTGACCTTCCAGTTTTGTTGTATTTCAGTATTTGAAATAAAACCACTAATGCAATTTATGAATAGAGAAATTATTCTCTTACTGTAATGATATAGGTATATATTTATTTAAAACCATTACTTGAACATCTTTGAGAGATGAGAATGAAAAATTTAGACATGGTTAATAGTATCTTTTGAGAACATTAATATAATTTCATTACAAAAACATTTATTCTCTCCTACAGGGATGTTTACGTACCACAAAGATTCTTACTGTCATTGGTTTAGTAGTTTGAACTGTGAAAATTACTCTGAATTCCGATTGGTTGGAGCTGTATCCTTTTCTGTCCACTAGAAGGTGCTGTATACACAAACGATGCCCCATAATAAGACATTTTTACATTTTTAATGTATTTTTTATTTTCATAGCATACATTTGACTATATTTATAGATTTATGTACAGTGGAGACGAACAGTAGTTATGATAGAAAGATTATGTTCATATTTGACAGAATGGTTCAAATATGAAAAATAATAATTTATTCCAACAGAATTAGTTGCTGTTTACTGTCACAACGTATTAATAAAGGAAGATTGTATCATTGGCACAAATTAATATGTTCAAATAGAAGAGTTCTGGATTCAGTATTGAGTCATGATGGCCACATTCTAGACCCAAATACTTTTTAAAAGTTGTTTGCAGGACTTGATTATTATAGAACTAATACATATTAGGTAGTCCTCATTTAGCAGCCACAATTGGGACCAGCAACTCTGTCATTAAGCAGAGCAATCACTGAATGAATCTGCAACTGTGCTTATGATCTTACTTCAAATTTTCTTTGTTTTACAGACCTGTGAAGGTTGTAAATGAGAAGATTGATCACAAACTTACTTTTCCATCTCTGTTGCAGCTGCAAAAAGTCATTACATGAATGACTTTATTTATATCTTTGCTTGAAATGTCTTAATTTAAGAGTGTAAAAATAAAGATCACGTATTTAAATCCCATTTTTAAAAAAAAAACATTATTTCACATAGAAAAAAGGATGCCGCCCTCTTCAGTGCCACATATTGACTTGTCATGACGGGAACTGAACCCCTCACCGAGGAGGAATCTTTTTGAATAAAATTTAAATTTT